GAGTTGAGTGTAGTCGTGTTTAACCCTTAGACTACGACTTTTTAAAAACAAGTTATTTGATGTGTTTTATGTAGTAACAGTTGCTCCTAGCAACAACTAATCATCTGTAGAAATTTGGCTGATGCGCGCTGGGTTTGAGCTGGGATTCGATCCAGAGACCATGTGCGCGGCAGTGGCCCCTCCTGTCACCACACCATCTCCGCTCGAATGAGCATTTTCGAACAGTTCAAATACTATTCAACAAATACACATTTATCACATCTCATTCGTGGAACTAGGCAATGTCTGGTTGGGAACGCACTTGAAAAGAATTGCAAGCCGCACTTTGTAGAAGTGCTGCTCCCCTGCCTACAGGCTGCGCCCACCGGCTGCTTCTCCTCTAACGAATTTTCGCTAGTTTTTATGCTCGAAAGCTGGGTCGTCATAGGAGTGTTCTACTACCACTTCCGCATCAAACGAAACATTCTTTCTCACAGAGCTTGACCTTCAGAGACCTGGAAATACTTGAAGACTTACTTATGTATGGTAGAAATTTTCGAAGTTAGGTTAAAGATGCTATTTTCCCCGAAACTCCGGCTGATTCGCGCTGATTCAAATCTATGATTTGAATCAGCGCGCTGGTTAAGAATATCGCATCGTTTTTTTTGGAGCCGCCGCTATCCGGCGCCCTTTCGACGTTACAACTTTGATTGCCTGGTTCCGGTTGGAAAACTTACGTATTGCGGGGATGTTACCCGTGATTAACGGCGTCTATGAATTGCAACTTTGAAAGGCCTATTTCGACGGCAGAACATCGAAGATCGAAGTTTGGGCATTCAGAAACCCTAGCTCGTGATAGAAGGAATGAAACTGAGAAAAAACTGACAAAAAAGACTAAAATCGGCCCTCAACCCATTTCGCTGTTTGAAAAGTTCCCCATCTATCGCGCGACTCTGATACTCTACATGGAAATATTGCATTGGACATAGTGAACAAGATTATTGTACGAATAATAAGAGAAATGATACACGAAGTACTAGAGAACTGATCAGAATGCGCTCGCTGGATGGTTCGTGGGCAGGGCATTGAACTATCTCATTGGTTGGTCTTCTGATACAGAAGTAACACAGGTAAAGTAAGGCAGTGCAGATGACCGTAACTCTGCATTTGTGCATAGAAGTTGAATGGATTTTAGAAGTTCCTGGCAATTCCACGTGCCTTCTTCATTACTATTTGTTTACTCACCACAAATACCTGCGCTGTCGAGGGCAATAACCCACACCTCGCCTCTCGCGGAACATGCCTTCATCGCTAGAGTAATTTCTTTACGAGCAGTGCGCAATTCTACTGCTAGCCGGATGCACAAGAAAAAGGAAATTGAGATCCTGATACAGAAGGACGAGGAAGGCCAAAATATTTAAAAAGACCTCGATAGAAGTAATTTCAGTTTCTCCCTTCCAATACCTTTGAACTTAAGAGTAGATATCGTGTCTCAGGACATGAGAGTTAGAAATTGCCCAACAGGTTTTTGCATAAATCACCCCTTACGGGTATGACAATAAGACCATGAGAATAGTCGACTACATCACCGTATTATCGACTGACCTCCTCCTCATCAATCGCATCGCCTTTCCTCTTGACAGCCGCCTTTCCTAGAGCACTCTCTAGACGATTAAGCGCTTCAGGGTCGACTCCCTTAAAATAAAATTGTCTATACAGAAGAAGAAGCCTTCCAATTCTGACACACCTCTTCATCTTCTAGGCTTTCAGATTCTGACTCACCAGCTGCTTCACCGTCGTCCATATCTGAACATAGACACCATAAAATCGAACAAGCAGCTGGACTTCAAAAAAAAACCCCGCAAGTCTTCCCAACACGTAGAGAAAAGCAGTTACTACAGACGTCACGTTCACCTGCGGTACATTGAATAGAACCCCTCCTCCTACTCTTCAGAACAACAAAACAATAGCTAGCGTAGCAGCCACCTTCATCTTCATCATTCGTTGATTCTCCCTCGCTACCCTGTTCGTCGGCCAATTCCTCGTCATCCATCATCATGGTCTGAACTGGTGTTTTCAAAGGAGTAGTGAGCGATTTAGGCTTAAAAAAGAATTGGTGAACAGTGAAAATTTTTCGTACCTCAATTATGTGAGAAACATGTTCCTTCTTGAAATGAGGCAATAGCTGGACAAACACATAGTAGACCACAGTACGGTGATACTTCAACGGTTGGCTGAGGTGGGCCAGTAATTGGTCGAGAAGAACCTAAAATATGGCGACTGATCAAAAAACTTTGAGGGATTCTTTTTCGAATAAAGTTATCACTTGAGCCTTCAATTCAGGCTAAACCATTGCGTGGGCCAAAATTCAAGACCAGCATGACCCCTCCAAAAGGTCTCGCCGGGGTTCTTAAGTTAGCCTATCACAGCCATCCTTCAAACACCTAGAAGCCTACCTACCACTCATTGAAAAGCCGTAAAACTGTAGATTCCATAAAATCTGTTTCCACCACCGAACAACTCCCTCCCATCTCTGCCAAACACCACACCCATCCCACCAGGTAAAACCTTTCCGAGAATCACAAATACGACTCTGTTGGGTTGGGCCCGACAAACGGTTGATCATAGCTCACCTCTTTCTTACACAGCTTTCGAACTGCTGGTTTTTCGAATGAAGTAAATAGACGAGTAATTCATATCTCATCGTCAGATTAATCTAGAATGCGCCATGCATCCGCATACTGGTTGCATGACCGCACCCTGCGCCTCAGTCAGATCCAGCAATGTTCACACCCAATTACTTACAATTACTCACTGGCAGATATGCCCTACATGCGCTACATTCCTTCAATATGTTCTACACCAGAAAAATATATTCAGTCCTACAACGGCTTGTTTCGAAAGCCTTCTAGTTCCACGGTAATTCATAAATAAACGATGTCAACTTTAGGATAAGTCACGAATTCGATTTCGATCTCGAGATGTAGATGACTTTAACGCGCTTTCCTCTCCACAAAGTTGGATTGTGAAGAGCAGCCCATATTTGAATTCACTGTTTGTATTCTTCAGAAGAGTCTTTCAGAACCTCACAAACCGCTGCAAAAGTAAAGGCGAGGTCGTTCTACCTCAAAAAAGGTAAAAGAAGTCGGTAACTCCCATAGCTGGTGTGAAAATCTTCTACCCTTCCAGTTCAACAGAACAAAGAAACTCGTTCTAGTACAAAATCTGTGAAGTCGTTCTTCATATGTCCGATAAATCACTCACAATTCATCTATTGAACCAATTTTCAATTCTAATAATGACTATTGGTCAACCTCATGAAGAAAATACAAGAGCCCAATAATCACCTTAGAGCGTCCTACGTCAACCTTTGCTAACATGACAATTCTTCACGTATTACTGTGTATCCCTTCCGCACTCTCTCTGAGATGAACACATTTCTTACATAATTTTCCAAACACATCAAAAGACAGGAAGAGCACTAAAAAGAAATCATGCGAATGGCTCAAATTGATCGGTTATGGACTTCATTGAACTCCTTCGCAGCTAAAAGTTGAGCCTATAATTTTCGTTTTTTTTTGTAGTAATAAGGGTGCTTGGAAACATGATACTGGCTAAGGGATAGAAATTATCTACAGAAGGGAACAAAATAGCACCTCTTAGCATATTCGCAGCTTTTCATTTTCTTCAATCCACTTTTCACTACATCCTTCTCCGAATATTGAGTATCACCGCTTTGCGTAAACATTTCTCCCGCTCTTCCCACCAACGACACGTATATCCGCCCAACTCTGGTCTGCTCGCTACCTGAATTGCGACCAATTCAAACACTCGACGTCAGTTTTGTTTCTCGAAATCGGGGTAAACAAAAATATATGACAACGAATCCTACCTTCTAAAAACTGGCTTTCACGCTTCTTTTCGAACATCGGAGAATTAAAGTTCACATAAAGCACTTATCGGGAAAGTAGACTGTGTGATTATTCTTCGTAGATGTGTCCGAACTTGTTGCGACTCTATATGTTGTTGACTCTAGAGTAACCACTCGTGATTTTGACATGTGAACCACTCTCTAGTATGAGGAAGATGCACTACTTTCCTGCTCGAATACTGATGGTTTCTGACTCTGCTGAGATGAGTGTTCCCCCGTCTCGTTGCACGTTAGACTGAAACAAAATCTCTCTAGCAACTTCGACTATAAACCGTGTTATCTGGACCTGCATTGAATTCGAGTTATTATCTAAAGTGAACGTGTACACATCTTTATAGAAGTCTGAGTCTATCGTCTTCTACTTATGTGCTGAGAGATAATTTGTAGTATCTTAATCCGTTATCGAGCAATAATCACTTCGATCAATTCTGTGTCTTCTTTCACTGCACTCAGAACCTCCTCTGTGAACTTGCAGAAATCAGTTATCTGATAAGCTGCTCTCTCCTGCGAGTTCTCCTCATTTAATCGCCACACAAATTAGTTCAGTGACTGAATTCTCGAAACATTCTTTTCTTGTTCTTGAAAAATTCTGAACCCGTGCCGGAGAAAACCGCCACAATTAGGCAAAAAGTCAACCGACCGGTTTCATGAACAATCAAGTGATTACCGCGCCGTTCCTTTCGCTTTTGAGCGATAGTAAAAATGGGAGAACCCTTCGAGCACCCTTTCGTAGTTCGAACAACTACTGCATCCTTTCTATTTATACGAATAAACAAAAGCAAAAAGCATGAGGAAACTTACTAGCCGCCGTTCCACTAGCCTGCTAGCTTACATGCTTGACCAGTTAACTAATACCGAACAGACATAACTCATTACTGTTTGTCGAGCATTGCGAACCAGGCTACATTTTTGAGGTACGCGACCATTTATTAACTTAACACATTGACGACAGCCGATTACGCGCGGTGTCGGCATCATTTTTTCTTTTTTCCAGAATCGTCATTACTCCATCAATAATCCCACTAGTGATATTTGGTGCAATAAGATAATGTATACCGAGAGTTTTGGAATAAAAAAGGCCAAGTAATTCAAACAGAACGAGCCTGATAGGTGTGAAGAACTGACGCGCATGCGCCTCACGCTGTCATCAATGTTGTGATAAATAATTGGAGAAAAAACAAAGGGCCTAATTGAGCTCTGGATAAGTTTCGAATTGAATATTCGCAATTATACTTCCTCATATTTTCTTTCGAAATTGTATACGTATTGAGGAGGAGTGAAATTCTTGACATTCATACAACAATTTCGAACGCGCTGTTCATTTACCCTGCTTCTAAAGCCGAAAGAGCATCCGAAGCATTTTCAAGGTGAGAATAATGCAGCGATGAGAGCGCAGCTAAAACAGTCATGGTCTAGGGATTAACTCCGGTCTTGCGAAACAGGTTTCCCCTCCGTTCGGAGCCACAAATGATAGCAGACTTTGCTGGGTGGATAGAGCACTAAACTGTGCGAATCAGCTGACTCAAACTATTGAATAGATCAAACACGCATGTGAGAGCCGGTGTGGTTCCTGAAGCAACTTGAATACGCGGCAAACCTCAAAAACGATTGAGCACAGCTAAAATATTTACAGCCTAACTCTTCTATGATTTTCCAAAATAAGCAGCACTTTCTATTCTAGAAGCACGTTTTTTCGCTCCAGAGTCTTATCGTATCTAAACAACTCAGCGGGATGAAAATATAGTTCAACCGTAGTTTGGAGGTTCGGTGTACAGTGGCAAATAGCACGGCTCTTTCCTTTAGAGGTCGAATGACC